CCCTGGCTTTTCTGGGGTGGAGTGGGGTCTCTGGGGTTACAGGAGGCAAGACTCCAGCAGCACAGTTCCCAAAGGCACCAGATGACCCACCAGCCTGTCCACCCCTCCCACACATGGGCCACCCCCCCAAGCTTAGATTAAGTCAAGTGGGGGCCATACCCTGAGTCTCCAGCCTCCCAGCCTGGGCCCTTGGGGAGCTGGAGAGGTAGGGGCCAAGGCAGTGGGGGCTTCTGGAAGGAAGAGAGGCTGAGGCTTTGAGATGGCCACAGTGGGAGACGGGGGCTCTGCAGGATACCCCTCACACCTTGGCCCCCTGAGGTGAAGAAAACCCCCACCTCATCATGGCTGACTGGGCTTCTCTGCCCCCTAACCTCCCCACCCCTCCCCCATGGGACCCCTGACCCTGGTGAAGGGAAGCCCAACTGGAAGAAGGGGCCTGGAGCCCAGGGTGCCCTGAGGCAGCCCTCCCACCCCCTGAGATCAAGGCAATGGTGGTTTTACAGGCTGATGGGTCAGTCATGGCGGGGGCTGGGGGTTGGGGGGCAGGGAGGAGGCAAGGTGCGGGTCCCCCATATAGGAGGCAGCAACCAGCCACCCCCTGAGCAAACTTTCCTGCTCCCAACTCACCCAACCAGGCCAGAGGCACAGTCATCCCATCCCTGTCCAGCTGCCCCCCACAGCCTCAGGGCCCCTCTGCGATGCTCATCTGTCTGGGTGTGGGAGGCCAGTCTGAGAGGGGATTCCCCACCCCCCAGGGCACAGCGCAACAGTTCCAAAAAAATAGAGATTTGTATTTTTTTTAAAAAAAAAATTAAATAAAAGCCCAGCTCTGCTGATAGGCAAATGTTACCCCTGTCCCCACCCCCCACCCACCATTTGTTTCCCTGGCCTGCACCCCCATCCCACCACGGCCCCAGGGGTATTTACAACATGGAACAATAGAGGCCTGGGGGGCACTGCGGCAGGGAGGAGGGGCACAGGGCAGGTCCCCCCAGAGGGGCCCCCCAAGACAACACAACATCAACGAGAAAAGTTGCAAATCAGGCAGAAATGGGAACATCATTCCAAGGTCCTTATATACAGACACCGCAAGACCAGCAGGGAAGGGGGTGCCCAGATGGGATCAGACATGAGCCTGTAGGCAGGTGGGCCAGCCCAGGAGCAGTACTGGAAGAAGGTCTTCGCAGCGCTCTCACCCCAATCCCCACCCCACCTTTGGTAACAACAGCCCTTCAGAGAGCCCCTGGTGGAGAGTTTCCTCTGAGCATTCCCAGGGAATAAGTCCCCCAGTTTACCCAGCTGCAAGGCTACACTGCCCTGGTCAGCCACGAAGGAAACAATGAGTTAAAGTGTGCTGCTGACTCTTGACTCCACCATCTGCCCAAAGCAAGGGGGTGCTCCCTAGAAGTAGATGGAAGGGAGCCCAGTCATTGCAGAGGAGCCCGTGGGCATCCGCTGGATGGAGGAGCCCCATAGACTGGGAAGAAGGGGCTCCTTGGAGCTAAGGGGTAGGAATGGGGGGAAGGACCTGGACCCTGCATGGGGGCAAGGGCCAACGTGGTCTTGAAGCCAGTTCTCTCACGGAACGGGACCTGGCCACAGAGTCCACGCTGGAGGGATTGAGATGGGCCCTGGAATAGACCCAGTTGGGAGCTGGCCGGCGACTGGGGGAGGGGTGGCCGCCGGCCAGAAGGGGGCTCACAGGTAGATCTCACGCTTGGCGGCGGTCTGGGCTGATGTCGGTGCGGCTGTGGGTGGGAAGTCCGAGGTCTGGGTCAGGGGAATTTCCTCCAAGGTGGCCGAGTCCTTGCAGGAGTCATGGCTACTGTGGGAGAAGGCACTGTAGGAGGGCAGGAGGCGCACGGGGGCCGTTTTGGTGTTCCGGTCTTCCGGGGGGCTGGGGCTGCCGGCGCCCGCAGGCTCCTGCCCTCCTCGGTCCTGGTAAGGCACGAAGGTGGAGAGTTTGAGGGCGCTGCTCTTGGTCCGGCGGCTGGGAGACGACTGGCCAGGCATCCAGCATGTGTCAGAGTGACCAAACTCGCTGCACTCCCGGGTACAAGTGCCCGTCATGGCGACGTCGGGCAAAGGGCGGAGGTCTGTAGGAAAGCAAGGACAGCCATTGGAGATGGTAGCCTCGAAAACCTCTGCTCTGTGGTCTCCCATTATCATATGCACTCGGCTTCTGTACTGAGGTGCGGTTTCTCCTGCCCACAGAGCAACACACACCATTCAGGCAAGCACAGACTCCCTTATCTACCTGTGACCCAGTGTACTGCTGCTTTCTAGGTCAGTCTCACACACACACACACACACACACACACACACACACACACACTCGTGCACGCACACAACACACTCTCACACTCTCTCACATACACACTCACACAAACACACGCTCTCTCACACACTCACATACATACTCATACACACAATCTCTTTCTCACACACACATGTGTGCACGCACACACTCACACACGCACACACACATACACACTCACAAACACACACGCACACAATCTCTCTCTCTCTCTCTCTCTCACACACACACACACACACGCACGCACGCTCCTTAAATAGGTGCTGCTCTTCCAACTTCATCTACCCTCTAGCACTCCGCACACACCCACCAAATCTGCCCTCAGACAGGTGCACAAACAGCTCATCTACAAACCGTCACCTGTCTCCAGACAGGTTCAATCATGGAATTCCACCCTCAGAGAGGGTTGAGGAAATCCCATCCTAATTTAGAGGCCCCTCCCCCCACACATACAAAGTCATGGCTATACAAATCTACACCATTGGACACCTCTGTCCTCAGACAAAGACGGCACATACCTTCCTTCCGAGTCCCTTCAAGCCTTACATGCTCCCCGCTTTCTTAGAACCACACCCCACACCAGCACAGCAATGCCTTACTTTAAAGCCAAGGGGAGGGGACGAGCTTCTATGTGGGATGTTCACGCATAAGCACACACACACACAACAAGCACACACATGCAGCCCCTGCCCACCTCACACCAGCCCCTCACCAGCCACCACCCTGGCCTTGCCCCCAGCTCCCTGCCCAGAACACCCACGGGAACAGGAGTTGGCCGCCTGACATCAGCAGTAGCCAGTGTGGTTGCTGGGCAGCAGAGTCTCCATGGGAACGGCTGGGCCATGAGCACTTCCTGTCACAGCTGCCCCTGGGCCGCCCTCACTCAGGGACAGCACCAGGCGGTGACCCCCCTCAGGGACACGACTGAGAAGATCTGCCTGGGGCAGGGGCTCCCCCAGCACCACCCACTGTAACTTGGCCTCCTGCCAGTGTAAGGTGAGGAGGGGATAGTTTTGTTATTAACCCTCAAAGCACCAAAGCTCTTTAGTTCATGGCTGGGGGACCCAATATGGCACAGAGCACTGGGTGGGCGGGGCTGGGTGCTGGGGCGAGTCCCATAGACCCCAGACCCCAGAGCAGCTCCCACCTACCTGGCACTCTGCCTCAGGGCCTGCTCCGGCCAGCCGGCTCTGCGCGGGCACAAAAAGGACGAGACTGGCATGAGATCACGCAGGCAGGGAGTGGCAGGGGAGGGGGCAGAGGGTGCTCTGGGCCCAGGGCCTGGGAGGTTAGACAGGACCCTATGACTCAGGGCGAAGACTGGTACTTTTCATCTTTGGGGAGGAGGGAGACTTTGGACTAAGAGAAGTGTGAGGCCCAAGGACAGCTCTCAGTCAGTCTTTCTATCCCAAGGGTTGGCTCCTTCAGATTCTCCTCCACAGGCTGCCATGAATAGCCTCACACACATACACATCCCGGACAGCACAGGCAGACTCACAAGATACTTCACCATCCATTCCCACACTCAGCTCTGCTCCAGCTCCTCCCTTCAAACTCCTCCTCGGGAGGCCCACTCCTTCCAGACTTCCTCCCAGTTCCTCCTTAGCCAAACCTTCTCCCACTCTTCTCCTGGGGACGGGGGAGATTCCATCCTTCTCTGAGTTCTTCATAGCATCTGGGAGTCTCATGCTCTCATCTCAAATTCTCTCACTCATTTGGGGACCACCACCATCCTTCCAGTTTCCTCACCATTATCTGAGCCTCCAGGCCACCATTTTCAGGGGTCCCTGTCCTCAGCAAGTCAGTGTAAGGCAATGCTGACCCCAAAGACCCCAGAGTCAGACATAGAGATGAATCCCTTCTGGGTTTGTTACTTTCCAGAGGTATAATTTTGGACAAGTTGCAGGACCTCTCTGAGTCTCAGTTTTCCTCACTGTAAAGTGGGTACCATAACATTCTCAGGTCAGAGAGTGTGAGGAGCCAATGAGTAGATAGATCTGAAAGTATGGTGCTCACACACAAACGGAACTCAAGACATGGAGGACCATTTTAAAGCATCACCGTTTCTCTTGAACTTCTACTCCCTCCTAGGATGCCTCAGCCATGCGGACGCTCCTCACCGTTCTCGGGGTGCTCCATTTCACCTATGCTGCCGTCAGGGGTGGTGCGCTCATAGTGGTCCTCGGGTAGGGCCAAGGGACCAAGTCGGGGCCCTGAGGATGACTTGCTAGATGGTGTTTCAGACTCTTCCAGGCCACTATCATAATAACTGTGCTGTGATGGGTCCTGCAGCTCCTGGGCCTGACTGGTGGCCGAGAACGTGACGCGGCGGTGAGGTAACTGTAGGGAGAGAGGGTATTATTCTTGGCTGGCTAGCTTCCTCTATGGGGCCCAGCACCACACCAATCCTAAACCCAACAAGACCCTCCCAGACCTCAGCAACAGCCAAGAAGAGGCCCAGCCCCTTTAGTACAGCATAGGCCCCAGAAAGCATAGACTCTAGTAGAGATGCCTCTTACTTCGAGGCTCGCTCCCAGTACAGCCAAGTTCACACACTCAAAGTCCCAATACAGCATAGCCCCCACTGTTATTACAGCCCCAGACTGCCATGACCACCCTAACCCTGTGCCAGCACAGCTTCCCGATGCAGGCATGGCCTCCCGTTGTCTTTCAGGACAGAGTGAGTCGCAGTAGAGTAGAACCCGAGAGCAGAACAGCACAGTCTCAGCCAACTCCAGATGCCAGCCTGGCCTCTAAACACCAGCACAGCCTCAAGCTTCTGAAACAGCTTCCTGGAAGCAGAGGACTCCTCTCTTCCACACAGAACCGTCCGCTATTAGTCTAACTGTACCTTCCAGGCTTGGGCTCTTCTCCTGTCTCACTGCTCTGCAACTTCCCATTGCCTCCATCCCAAAGGGGTACCAACCTTTCGCATCTTGCTCCTCAGACCAAGTTTGCAGTGCTGAGGCTTCCAAGAGCCCCTCCTGCTCAGGCCCCAGCCCTCTATAAATCCTCTTATAGAGGCCTGAGTGTGGGAGGGGATGGAGGGAGGAGAGGGAAACTTGGTAAGTCAAACACGTGGTGTCAGAGAACATAAATAGACCCCTTCAGTGCTCCATGTCAGGGAAGGGGTCGTAGAGGGCAAGACCCAGTGTGGCGGAGTCCCCTCTAGGAAACAGAAAGGAGCCCGAGGAGGGACACCCTGCTTGGTGAAACCAGATTTGAGTTTAGACTGGGTACTGGCATTGGAAGAATGGAACAGCGACAGGCTGTTTCCTGCCAGCAATCCTGTCTGCCTGCCATGGGTTAATGATCAGACCAGGAACCTGGCAACCTCAGCCTGGCACTTGGCACAACCATCAAGCCACCCACCTGGGACCTCCACTGGTTTTCATGCCAACTAGAAATTAAGAGTTGTGGAGGGCACAGATCCTGGATCCCTGGAGGCCAGAGGAACATCAAGGCCCAGGTCCTGTTGGGGAATCAACAGACTCTAATCCTCCAAGACAGAAGCACCATGACTCAGCTTTGGGGCCCTTTCACAAAAGGTCAAGGAGCTAGCCAAGCGAGGTGATCTCAGGTTGTAAGCCCACTCCCCACCCTTCCTGCAACCTCCTACTGATGTCTGAGTTCGGGGCAGGGATATCAGGGCAAGGAACTTTGGTTCTGGTACAACAGTCCACTGATACCTCCCCACCTTTGCAGGAACCTATTCAGCCCCAAACAATGCAAGGTCTGGGTGATGAAATGAGGTCTCCAGAACTGACCTGCACTTTTGGAGCTACGAGGTTATAAAGGAGTGAGGTCCACCTGGTAATGGGATAAACAGGCTCCAGGATGGTCCTCGAAGGCATAGGACAGCCTGGTTATTGGTGCTTCTCCTTCTTCCCTGGCTATCAGGGGCTTCAGTCCTGCATGTGGACAAGTCCCTTGGGCCTTACTCCTATGCTGGATGGTCATACTTAACCTTAACAGGTCCTGCACGTCTGTCAAATCTTAAAAGATCAGATCACTAAATCTCTGGTCCTGAGTTCTTGCTGAGTATTTCACGGGCTACCCATACTGACCCTCCAGATCCAACATGCCTGAAATCAAATTATTTCTCATTGATCGCCTTTCACATAAGCAGTGAGCTCATCACTAGCCCATCACCAGCACTCAGAAAGCTGATAGCCACCCGGGAATCTAGGTAATTTCTCCCTCAAACCCACCCCCATATCCTATCAATTAGGACCGTGAATATCGTTGGCCCTTTCTCCCTTCCTTCAGCCAGATCCATCCACCTGTCTTCGTCATCCTCACTGCCATATTAGTCCAAACCTTAGTGCTCCTGTCCCCCCACCTCTAGCACAAATAGGAGTTGAGCTAGGGCTCTACACAGGCTAGGCAAAGCAAACGCCCTTTCTAAAAGTCAGTTCATCTGCGAAACTGGGATGTGTGACTTTTCCTCTTGAGGGATGTTTAGCAAGGCATCCTGACTCTCTTCAATGTATAGTTCTTCCTGGCTCACTGTACTCTCTCCTACAACCTCCACCCCAGCCAGATTGCTTCCCTTTCTGCCCTCTCCCAGTTTCCAACCGCATCATGCTCATCTGCTTCAAGAGCTGCTCACACAGTGACCCTAGGCAAGGCGGCCCTTCTGCTCTAATCCTACCTGTCACAAGCTAACCCTGGGTTCCTAGTCTCCTCCTAGAAGCTCATTAATATTTCCCCCATATTATGTCCTAAAAGGAGGAGGAGGCACTATAGTCAAACAAATGTGGAAAACTCAGTTATACAAGTTTAACAAGTTCACCCTTTGTGACAGGGTTTTGCAGAACTTTTTACAGGATGTGATAGCTAGTTTCTCACTAACTTAATCATGGAATCAGCTTTTAATTGTATAGTAGATAATGGCGGAGTCTGGAAGCCAGATTCCCTGATGCTTTATGCTTCATTTCTGACTCCGCCAACTGCTAGTTCTCACTTCTGTGAAATGACTATAATAAACTGGCCTGTGTCACACAGTCATGATCACTGAGTGAACTCACATAGGGTACCTTGCAGCTAGCCAGGCCTCCCAAAACGGGAAAGAACAGCAGTAAAAACAATTTCACGGAGTCAGACATGGTGGCACATGAGTTACTTCCAGCACTAGGAAGGCAGAGACAGTGGATCTCTCTGAATTCAAGACCAGTCAGGTCTATAAAGAAAGCTCCAGGCCACTCAAAGCAACATAGTGAGACCCTGTACCCCAAAGAAAGTTAAAATCATTCTATAGTGCACATAAGGAAAAGCTGCCTATGGGCCTTCTCACTTGACACCATTTTTCTATCAAAGTCGAATACCACACTGAGCATGCAGTAGGAACTTGGCTTATGTGCTCTGGTGATGACAATGAAAGGTTTGGTTAGACTCAGATGTTGGGAGGAGGTATTCAGTGTGGTTCCATGGATGGGTTGGATGGGTTGGAGCCCAGTGAGAGACAATCCCTCAGCCCTTGAGAAAGAAAAAAAAAATATCAATGAACTAAGGAATGGAAGAAGCAATGGTTGCAAGGCAGAAATGGAAGAGAAAGAGTGTGAGACCAGGAGTTTCTGGAGGTCACCTGACAGCTAACTTCTCAGGAGAAAGAAGTTGTAACTAGGTATGACCTCCCCATATCCCACTCCTCCAAAAGTCTTCAGATGTTTTTCACTTTGGGGGTACCCCAGGGCTTTGGGGAGTTTATAGACGGAACCCAGAAGACAGTTGGCGACTTGGACCTCCTGGGAGTGTCTCAAGCCTCTTCGGTCACCATGGAGATGGGTTGCCTCCGGCCTCAGAGATTTCCTCAGGACCAGAGGTCCCTCACCCACACCTTAACTTCCCTCAGGTATAACCAGAGGCAGGGCAGACCCAAGAGAGCAAGAAGTGAGAGACGGAGGGAGAGAGAGAGAAAGAGAGCTAGCTGGCAGTCCTGGCTCGAGTAAGGAGCTGAAGGAAGGGGAAGGAGATGACCTTAGGCAGGAGACAGAATTGGGACACCTCATCCTATGGCAATGGCTCACCCAAGCAGGAGGGTGTAAAGTGGATCTCTGCCTCTCCCAGGACCTTCCCTCTCTGGAGCCCAGGGTGGTGATCGTGGGGAGACACAGGGCAGGGCCAGCTAATTGCTAAGTGTTGGTGTGCTAAAGAGGCTGGGAAAGGGACTTGGGGGAAGAGACTGCCCTGAGGGAAGGTAGATGGTGTAATCAAAAGGTTCTCTGGCTTCACCTGAGGCAGGAGGCTGGCTGCCACCCCACACAGGTGCTCCGGTTTCAGCTCTCTCAGAAGCTACTCCATTAAGGCAGATGGGAAAACACTGAATTGGACTAGGAGGCAGAGCCTCCCCTCCTACCCTTTCTTGGTGAGGAGTCTCATGCCAGGGAGAAGGCCTCACAGACATGGGGTGAGGGAGCGTGCTAGCGTACTCCCCCATTTGAAGGCTGGAACTTTCTCCAAACATGGAAACGGTGTGGGGGTGGGCAGGAGATGATATACTAAGATAGGGCTGGAGTAAAGTAGGCAGGCCTAGGGAGCAGGGAGGGATAAAGGGCAGACATGGGGAAATTGAGGCAGGACTTGAGAACAAAGCTGCTTCCAGTCTCTCTCGCTGCTTCTCTCAGTTCTGGGAAAATAAGAAACCAAAACTCCAAAAATAGAGAACTTTATTATCAGGGTCACATGGATAGGGCTGGGGTAGGGGTGCGGGGCCAGCCCCCGGGGCCTGGGGATGAGGAAGAAGTTAATACACAATACATACAGAAGGCACAAATGGGGAGGTTCCTCCCTCCCCAGCAGAGTCCCCACCCAGATTCTAGGTCTTCTGTGTCCCCTCCAAAGGAGCACCTGCATAGCTGATCTCCGAGGGAGACCCAGGTTTGGAATAGTCTCCCACTTTACCCTGTTCCCTTCTGTCTCCAAACCTGTTCACCTGCCCATCATCGGCTCCACCTGAAAGACCCAGTAGCTAGTACAGCATCCTGGGATCTGACAAGAAGTCACAGACTTCTCTCCCTTGTGGGGAGGAGCAGGGAAGACACTACAGAGCCGCCCCCTCCCCGCATCCGTTTCCACTCAGCCTAACCCTTCATATCTGAGTAAGGCAGCAGGGTCCTTAGTGAGGCCTCAGTACCCCCAGCTCAGTATTCCCACCTCCCACAGCTAGCTCAGGATGTTCCCACATGATCTAGTTGATCATGGCAGGCAAGACACATCTGCTTCATCACTCCCACACCTCGGTCCAGATGGCCCCACGGTAGGGGTGGGGTGGGGGCTGGGGCGTGCTAAGCCGAAAGGGCTGGCCTACCTGCTTGCTGGGGTATTTGGGGGGGTTGGTGCGATAGCTGTAGTCGGAGTACTGCTCGGAGCCCGTGGACGTGGTGTCCCCGGTGCCCACAAAAGTGTTTGCAGGCGGTAGGTCCTGCACCACCTGGTGCTTCTTGGAGGCCGAGGGTGACTGGGGTTGTAGCTGGATTGAAGGCAGTGGGGAGTTGGAGCGGTAATGGCGGCCTAAGTCGGGGCTGCCTGGTGGGTAGTTGAGGGGCAGGTGGATTCGGGGACTGTCCCCAGGGGCATCGCTCATGAGGTTGAACTTGAGGGACTTCTGCAGCCCAGCCTCATCCTCGTCCTCCACTGGCTTCACGGGCTTTGGGGACTTGCTCTTCTTCCCTTTGTTCTTGCTTCCCTTAGCCGCTTTGCCGCTGGGCTTGGGAGCATACAGGTCCTTAGTCTCCTTCTTGCCAGCCTGATAGCCACTCTTGGCCTCCCGCTGCCGGCAGTAGCGCACAAGCACTGCCAGGGCGATGAGTAAGGCCACGGCTACCACTCCGGCCACGACACCAAAGAGAATATTGCCACGCTGCTTGGAACGCTCGTACTCTGGGTCCCCGGCGATGTCAATGTCCAGTGGTGTGTCCAGACTATGGACAAGGAGGGTCTCCAGCAGTGTGCGGTTGGCTAACGTCTCGTTGACGTAAAGGTGGACCAAGGCTGTGCCATAGCGTGGGGGCTTGCCACGGTCACTGACCTTCACCACGAGGCGGTGTAACCCATGGTGGCGCCGTTCAATCTCCTTCTCTAGGGTGATGGCGCCTGAATGCGATCCAATCTGGAAGAGTCCATAAGGGTTGCCACCAGCGATGCTATAGGTCAGCTCGGCATTGACACCGGAGTCAATGTCCTCCGCCGTCACCTGGCTGACTGTCTCGCCAAGCCGCGTCTGTGGGGTCAGCAGTCGGTGAGACGTGTTGGAGGGGGCGGTGATAAAGGGTGCGTTGTCATTCTCATCCAACACGTTGATGGTGACACCGACGTATGCTGAGCGAGGTGGGACGCCACCATCTACAGCCTTCAGCTGGAAGGTATAGGTACTCTGTTGCTCCCTGTCGAAGCTCAAGCTGGATAAGATGGTGCCTGTGCCATTCTGGATAACAAAGTCACCATTGTCCTGCTCGACCGAGAGCTGTACCCGGGCATTCTCCCCCTTGTCTCCATCAATGACAGTCACCATGCCCACTGGACTCAGTGCGGGCATGTTCTCCATCACTGAGAAGTTGTAGCCACTCAGCATAAACTTGGGGTCGTTGTCATTGCAGTCCAGCACGTTGACAAGGACCGTGGCTGTACCCTGAAGGCTGGGACTGCCCCGGTCAGCCGCCACCACCTTCAGCTCATAGCTGTCTCTCTGTTCCCGATCCAGCGACGTCTTCACCCGGATCTCTCCGTTCTCAGGTGAGATGGTGAAGAGGCCCTGGGCAGCTGGCTCGGGTTCCAGAGAATACACCAGCTCGGCGTTAGAGCCGGAGTCAGCGTCACTGGCAGTGACCTCGGCCACCACTTCCCCAGGCTTGTTGTTTTCTGGGAAGGCGACTTCAGTGATACTCTGGGTGAAGACCGGGGCATTGTCATTGACATCTACCACCTGGACCTTGAGGGAGTTGGTGCTAGAGAGTGGGGGGTTGCCGGAGTCCACGGCCACGATCTCAATGGTATAGTCTTTGACTTTCTCATAGTCA